GCTACTGCTACTGCTGCTGCTGCTGCTGCTGGCTGCTACAGCCACTGCTACTGCTACTGCTAGTGCTGCTGCTCCTGCTCCTTCTCCTGCTGCTCCAGCTGCTGCTGCTGCTGTTGCCGTTGTTATGGCTGTAGAGCGGTAGCAGTCATCGTCGGTGTTGTCGTTGTCATTGTCGTGGTGGTGCGTGTCCTCCAAATCAAATTTGTCTCGAATGGCTTCAGGAGACCTGCTCGAGAGAGAGGTTCTGCCCACCGGCATCATGCTAGGCAGGGGACGCCGTAACATCCGCCGACAGGGATGTGGCGTGCACAGATGGCGCTGGCACCAATGCACTCTCTCGGGGTGCAGCTGAATTGAACATGTCGCCACCTGCAGAACCTCCCAAGTGCTTCATCTCGGTGAGTAGAGCGCGTCGGTGGAGCAGGCTCGCTGCTGCAGCCGATTCGTCAGCTGCTAGATTGCAGTCAGCAGCGCAGTCGACTTTGCCTGTGCGCCAAAGATCCGGCAGCAGCGACGCCACGAGGGGAAGCACAGCGCCTCAGCGATCAGTCAGCCTTCGCAAGCTACACTGCCGCAGGTCTCTCGGTTCTGAAGAAGCTGTCAAGGCATGGCGGAGAAAGCGACCTGCTGCATAATGCTCAGACGGGCTTCTTGGAAGGTCTTGGCCGGCGTGCGGAGCCTTTGGCTTCAGACTCGGAGCGAACAGCAGGAGCTGGAGGTGGACAGCCGCGACAAGGACTTGGGCCAATCTCCCCAAGCTTGCATGAAAACGAAGTGAAATTCTGCTGTAAATCACATTAGAAGCGGCGGCACGTATCTCTCTGGGTCGATTCGTAGCCCTGCCTTGTCTGAGAGCCCGGCCCCCGACGAAAGAAGCCGGGCCCCGTGGCCCGCGAGGACTGGCTCGGCGCTTGGCCTGGTATCTGTGCTGTCGCGAAGCCAGGAGGACTGAGAATCTGGAATGCCGCAAAGCGCCTGTAATGCTTCGAAGTTGCCCGACCTGGTACATTTATGTCGGTGTCGCATGGAGGGGCGCTTTGTCAAAGCACGGCCGCTTGCAAACATGCTGCGCTAGTTCAGAAACCTTTGATTCCTACCACTCTTACAAGCACGGTGACGGCAGGTGTGTCAACTGAAGACACCTTGGCAAGATGGGCTTTACTGCTGGCGATGCCGTCTCGCGTCCGATTTATTCGAACCTGCCTGAGCTCGCGAAGTCGTAAAGGCTCAATGGACGTTGATGAGCGACGGGTAAATTGTTAGATTGATTCGAGCCTGCATGAAAGAACTGCCCCACCCACCACAGCCATAGTCCACTGAAGCGGACGCGAGAGGATTGGAATTCTCTACTGTGTCCGAGGCTTGGAACGGTTTCCCGGCTTGACCTGCCCACATCCGGCGTGACTCGGACTACAATCAAAGTGCGACTGCGACTAGCAATCATGAGTACATGACTTACATGACATCCAGTTTGGCCCAAGCTGATGAGGGTTTTTTGCACTTTGACATGACCGTTAGTGTTTGTTGTGGCAAAGCTATTTCGCATCCCTGTCCATAGCTTCTAACATGCATCGACCGATGCTCTGGCGACCTCAAGACAGGGTGCTTTGATTTGAGCAAGGCCTTTGCAAAGGTTATCTCATGGACTTGGAAAGCCAAGGTTTGCTCGCCTGTCCCGGAGGGACATACAAGGTAAACAGAAGACCAAGAAGATCATGACTCTTTTCAAAATCATAACGGTGATGGTGACGTTGATGCTGATGAGCACCATGATAGTCACCATCATTACAACGTGAGCATGACAGCAACCATAGAGATGCGTACAATAATGCTACTGATTCCGGCTGTGATGTTTTCATTGCTCATAAGTATTGCCCCATTCCTGCTTCTCCTCACCATCATTTAGTACGGGGCTGCTGGTGGTGGCGGCATTGGGGATAATGATGATGATGGTGATGGTCATGGTGGCTGGTGACCGGTGGTGATTATGGAGGGGATGCCATGGCAATGTGGCGGCTTAGGGTCCTAATGATGATCTGCTGGTGGCTGTGCCGCGACAACGACACGACGACCACGACAAGCACTTGGCTACGATCTCCGGCTCAGGTTCTCCCCTTTGCGCTTGGTGGCGATGATTCGCCCGCAGCATGCATTGCAAAGATGTTTCATTGGAGGTTGGTTTTACACAGGCAGTTCAGTTTGAATTGTTCTTTGTAGCTTCTCTCTCGCTCTCGCTCTCCCGCACTGTCTCGCTCTCTGTCCATGTTGCTTTTTACATGGTGATCGTTGCCCATTGGTCTTGCATCCGAGCACGGGGCGACGTCTGGCATGTGCATGGCAGCTTTCCAGCTGGTGTTCTAGCTTGTCGCTGGCAGGCAGCGCACTGGCTCCGTGCCCAATTCTCTGCAAGGCTTGTGAAGAAGGACCTGCATTGAATGTACTCTTGAATTTGGTCGTCTAGGAGGTGGGGTATTGCTGTACGGCTATTACGGTTGCTACCTAGTCACTAGAGAGCTGTTCGCGCAGGCCTGAAGCCCCAATGTCTGGGGGAAGGGGGGGTGTAGGTTTTCAGATTCTAGCTCACAGGCTGCGAAGCTGTAACCCGAGTACGGCGAAGAGCTCGGCACCAGGGAGCCGGAGTCCTGTGGAGTCAAGAATCGCAGGAGTACTGGTGCCTGTGCGGTGGCAAGGCCAACGAGACCGGTGTCGTGACCAGCCCGCTTCGGGCGTCCCGACTGGGCTCAGGGCCAGGTTTTTTGAGCCTTGCTTGGGGTCTCATCGAGTCCTAAGCCCAAGCGGTTTGTGCAGAGCAGAACTGGGGTCTTCCGCGCCGCTTGAACATAGGCACGTAGTCGACTCGGAAAGACCGATTCAAGGTGGTCCGCAGTGAGGGTTCCGTCTATGCCGAGCCCTCTTCGCTGGGCCGTGCCGCCCGCACAGAGAGTCTTGGCAGAGATCCTGATCCGGGCGGGCTCCGAAGATTTGATTTCTCAAGGGTTTCGACATACACAGTTAATCGTTTTTCTCTGACGAATCGGGTGCAGGGAGCTGTTTCAAGCTGTCGTATGAGCCAAGCCTGCGAGGTATCGAGTTCTGTCCTCCTTCCAAGCTGCGACGTGTGGTCCTCGATTTTTTCTCGAAGTTAGTGGAGGTAGTTCATGGTAGTCTCCACAGACAGCACGGAGACTTCAACCTCTTAGCACCTTTAGCGCTTTCTCAAGGCTCAAGCCGCTTCACGGGGAAGATTGCTGTAGGCCGTAAGACGGCTTGTGCCAGCTGTTTGACGCTTGCTTGTCGAGCCCTCAGGCTGTTTAGTGCCTCGGCGCCGTTCTCTCTGCTGGAGGCAAGACTGATAGGTAGTGCGATCAACTTGGCGTGCAGGGAATTGCCGTCGGAGATGGCTTGTCAATTGAAATCTCTTTGGTTCCTCTAAGCCCGAAACCCTCCGACGTTATGTCATGATGAGCCAGCGAAAGCCACCCGAGCACTGGCAAAGCTCAGCAGTGCAGGCTCGGCCGCTGACTGGCCGCACCCACCAGAAGCTCAGATCCCGTTTGGAAATGCTGTGCTTTAGAGTTTTGAGCCCTCAAGCATTCAGAAAGCAGAGGAACATCTCTCTGCCTTGCCCAAGGATCCGCGTGCACCTGGCAAGCATCGGGCTCCCCATTCTCGGAGACGAGGCTTACGGACAGCGGCCCGGCAGCACGAAAATGCTCCCCCTTTGAGGGTGCCGTTGCTCCGTTCCCGCATTCCGTGTCCCACGCAGCGGCCCCGCTGCTTTTGAGGCCGGAACTGAACACCTTGTGCCCGCGGCTCTTCCTGCATTGTCGGCGCCTGCGTCTCCTGGCGCTGGATGGCCAGGTACCGCCCTTGTGGTCCTGTGGAGCGTTAGAGTCATGCCATGCTGTTGGAGTCATGCCACACGCTGGGGATCGCTGCTGCTCGGCTTTCCCTTTCCCATTTGCACATTTCCTGCTGCAATGCTGGAGCAGGAGCTGTGCTTGGAAGCCCCGCTGCCAGCGGACCTACGTGGTGTGCTGACGAGCTTGGAGACAGAGCTGGCCAGTGGAAAAAAAGAAACAAACAAAAACCAAACGCAGTTTGTTTGTGGATGGGCTCTGCCATGGGCCGCCATCGCCGGCCATGGCTCTCACATCCCCGCCTCCTGCTCACTCCAGGTTTTCGCCAGTTGGCGAGGGCTTCCGCGCACGCTGTCGGCAGCATTGGCCTCAGCTGGCAGATGTCAAAGGCTGGATAAGTGCAACACCGGAACACATTGACATGGAGATATTCTTAAGGTTTCTCGAATTTGGAGCAACAGAGCCTGCACGTGCTTGCTTTCAATTTCCCGAGTTTTGATGCAACGCCACTTGCAAAGGGTACAGCAACTTCTTTCGGATCCTTTGAAATTCTGGAGCGGTGGCCCCCGTGGCTTGGGGAATGCTTTGGAAGCCAGACACCGCGAAGTTCAAGGTTCCCTTCGCTGATCAACTGCGCCACTGTTGATTGGTACGATCCATGGCCCGAGGACCGGAAGTGCCTTTGATTTTGCTTTAATTACAGCAGACGCCTTGTCCCAACCCTCGCAGAGGACGCGCTGGTCTCTGTTGCCGAGAGGCCTGGCACCTGGCGGGGTTCGACCTGTCGACTCAATGCTTAGCTGGCTTCGCGGACCCATATTTGTATGTCTACTTCTAAGTCTTTGTATGCATTGCATGGGCGATTTGACAGTTCCTGTGTCAACCCGGAGCAGACCTGCTGAAACTGAATCGAACAGAACCCGGAAGACGAAGATGGGGAGCGCGTTGAGGCGTTGGAGTTGGGGCAGGTACTACCTCCAGGCTCCGAAAGAGCTGGAGCTGGATGCCAGCATTGCTGCGTTGTCGAAGATCTCTTGTGCCCCTCGGCCTCGGCGAGAGATTGGCTTGCTTCCTCCGAGACTGTAGCCTAGTTTGGCGGGGGAAGACAGACGCGAAAGCCCGGATTCTCAGTGAGAAGTTCTTCCCTGCACAGCCCCAAGCAGATCCGAAGTCACCCACAGAAGCCTCGCCGCCGCTTGAAACTCGTGCCGCTTCCAGGTTATCCACGCCTCGGCATCCGAGGTTGGAGCATTCGCAGAGAAGTTTTGTTTCCGAAACCGGAGGAAGGACACAGCATGTGGCCTCCACGTGCCTGCATGAACTGTCGTGAACTATTCCAGCGAAGGTTGTCACAGGTGGAAGTGTTAAGCGCAGATTGCGGAGCTTGGTAGCTCGTCCAGAAAATCGTCAGAGTTCGCATGTCCGAAGTCGAAGTTGCGATAGGTTCATCTTGGAGTTACTGGCTTCTGGGTGCTGCGTTCCGTACCTTGTGGCTTTCGTGTCTTTTTTGCATATTGAAGCTCCTGAAGCCAAGAATTCAAAAAAATCCGTTGGAGGATGCAAACCATACCACCCCTCGGAGCTTGTCTGCTACATTCGAGAGCTAAGCAGGAGCGATGCAGACGACAGAGCCTGAAGCGTTGCAGCGTCGTACTTCTCGTTGGGTGGGGGACCGTTGATAAAGAATTGATGGGTTGCCCCTCTGCCGGAAACGGTTTCGTCCCCTTTCTGCAAGAATCCCCAGCAAAAAGCGAAGTTGTGGAGCGAGAGCCTGTGCAAAGAGTGCTGGTCACATGAAGAAGCTCAAACTAGGGAGATAGTCGAATGACAAGCAGGCGGTGGCAAGCGCTTGGAAAAGATCACCACTTCACGGACATGTTTCTTGCACATTCCACCTGCATGGGCCCAGCGTGGCCGTGCAAATTTGACTCCGCATTGGTGACTTGATGTGCAAGGAGTCTAATCTGCCCAACAGCACCAGGGGATCCGACGGTTTTTTCGCCCCCAAGCGCCGGCTGCCGGCCCTAAGCAAACGAAGGGGTGGCGAGGGGAAGGTTTTGGGGCGGGAGCCGATCAGGCTGGAGAGGATCAGGTGCGTCCTGATGCATGATTCACAGCGCCTGCCCGCAAGCTGCGCACCCGTAGAAATCAAGAGGCAGACAGAATGGATCTGGAAGCTGATGGTTGGGGTTTCTGGTCGTCGCTGTTATTGTCATTGGTGTTGTCCCGGAGCATTTCGAAGGCTTATACCGAGGTGCGAGGTGAGCCCTCTTCTGTCGAGGCGGCCGAGAGGTTCTTCGATGAACTCCGCCGGAAGACGTGCGCTGTGGCAACAGACACGCTGTGACACTGCTCTGCAGGTAAAAGGAATTGTGACCGCTGGGCAGAGAGATCAAGAAGAAGAAGAAGAAGCAGAAGAACAGCAACAGTAGCAGTAGCAACAACAACAGCAACAGCCCCGGGGCAGGGGCAGGGGCAGGGGCAGGGGCAGGGGCAGGGGCAGGAGCACAACAGCAACAACACCGGCACCAGCACCGGTGGCAGCAGCAGGAGCAGCCGCAGCAGCAGCAGCTGCAGCAGCAGCAGCAGCAGGAAACGCAGTAGCAGTCGTCGTCGTCGTCGGCGTCGTCGTCGTCGTCGGCGTCGTCGTAGGGCTAGTAGGAGTAGCAGTCGTCGTCGTAG